GAGAGAGAGAGAGAGAGAGAGAGAGAGAGAGAGAGAGAGAGAGAGAGTGTGTGTGTGTGTGTGTGTGTGTGTGTGTGTGTGTGTGTGTGTGTAAGGCAGGAGGACGGCTGATAAATACCTGCCAGTATGGACATGTGTATGTCTATCAGTTTAACCTCTTTTGTGGACACATTCGTCAAACTGTGAGTGCATGCGTTTGTGAGCCTGCGTGTGTGTGCTCGCTCCCGGTGTGCGTGTCTGCGTGTGCTCGCTCCCAGTGTGCGTGCGTGTAAGCGCTTCTGTTTTTCCAACGTTAACACAAATTTATAGTCGTGTGGTCATTTGCGCCGACTGATGTGAATAAAGCCCTTAGCGGATGCGTGTTTGTGTCAAGTTAAACAGGTTTGTGGTGTGTGCGTGCGTGTATGAGAATATGTGTGTTTGATGGGGCCATCAGCTGATCAGGGAGACGGATGGTGTCGGACCAGGCGCTGATAATCCAATCAGGAGCCTGCAGCGACGTGATAGGCCAAGAAGCAGGAAGTATGATCTGATTAAAGGGACATTATGGCCATGTGCAGAGCGCCCCGATGCCTGAGGGTTGACAGGTGCGTGCACACACACGCACATGCACACACACACACACACACACACACACACACACTAAACCTGCCTGCCTAGAAACTGATACGAGCCCACACCACGCACAAACACAGACATGATTGCTACTAAGATTTATTGGAAACATTGGTGTGCGTTTGAAACACTGACATTAACAGATACAGGTGTCTGTGTGTGCGTGCAGCGACCTATGTTCATTTGCAATGCCATTCCAGGCAAATAAAAAGAGATTGGGAAGGAGGAAAAGAAGAAGGCATCAAAAGGGAACGAGTATAGAGGATTATTTTTCTCCTCCTCTCCTCTCACTGCACATCTCCCCTCATTAAATGAAATTAGAGCAACAACAATAAGTATGCTTATTATTACTAATTACGCCTTCTCTCTCACCACACAGATACAGTGAGAGAGGGCAACACAGTAGATAATGGGACAGACAGATGAGTGCTTGAGAGAGAGAAAGTACGTTTCCATCCAGCTGTCAAGCAAACCAGAGCATTTTGAAAAGTCTAGAGTGTGTGAATTCACCCAGCGACAAGCAGGAAATAAGGTGGCATTCCATTGGCTGGACAGAAGAGAGTGAACAATGGAGACTCTTGCTGTCACCAGTCAGATAGGTGTGTGGGTGTTACCTTCTTGGTGAGGTTGTGGTCCTGGTCGTGGGGCATGCGGGTGGAGACGTGGTAGATGACCTCGGTGGTGGAGGTGGCGTAGTAAGGCGTGGTCTGGCCTGTGCTGCGATTCCTCTGGAGACCTCCCATGAAGCCACAGTGAGTGGTGAGGTCCACCTGAGGGACAAACAAAGCCATGACGAGCAGGGACATGAACAACATCTCCCTTTATAACCTTTTACTGGAATAGAATAATACATCTGACTAGCTTCAGTCTCCTCTAACTCTTAAACAGTAAATAAAGATAAAAGGCTACAGCTGCTTTGCGGAACGTTTTGTGTTGAATCCATTCCTACATTTCTTCTTCAGTCAACACACAAACAAATATAATCTGCCTGCATTGATTTCCGTTTATTTTAACCATCGGACCTACAAAACGGTTTTCTTAGAAATCTTAAATCAGTTAACACTTCACTGATATGATAATGATTCAATTATTAGTTGCATCAAATAATCAGACTCGATCCTAAATATCATTCAGGAGATTTCAAGAACACAATGTAAAAGATATATTCGTGCAATTTGTATGTATGAGGAAGGCAAACGAACATTTATGAGAGTAAACGTGTTCTTACCTCCCAGCCGAGTCCAGAGACGAAGTCTTCGTAAGCCTGGCTGCCCGTTGTGTTGGTTAGTATGGAGTGTTTGTCCTCTTGGCCCTCCGCCACATAAAATACTGCTATCTTATGAGTCTCGCGGCTAGAAGAGAGTGAGAGAAAACAATAATGACCGACGCGTCGACTACTGAAAAACAGATCCCACATTTATTTGAGTGGCTGAGTTACTGAAGCATGAAGGTTCCCCCTTCATGCTTCCGTTTGTTTCTGAGTTTCCCCTCACAGAAAGCAACGAGGGGTCGTGATGTAATGAATCCACTATGGAAGGGGATGCAACTCATGGTTTGCAGAAGGATCAAATGGGGCGTAGCATAACCGCTGATGAATCTCAGAGCTATTCAAAATTTGGCCGATCCATTTTCTAAGTCGGATCTAAATAGTTTTCTCTCCCGTGTTTGCCAAGATAATCTTTCTAAGTTACTTTTTTGAGAAAGAAAGTGAAGGAATAAACATTTTGCCAGCATATTTTTTTTATAACTTTCGGCAGGTGAAAACTTTTTTTTTGTAGTAACTAACTACAACCTGAATAGAAAGATCAAAAAGAGGGAGGGAGTGGGGAATGCTGGAAGTGTAATATGGAAGTGTTGTAATATTTTCTCACCACTGCCGTGAGTCCAGGTTCTTCAGCTCTCTCAGTAACTTCTCATTCTTCCTCAACAAATGGAAGTTACTCCTGTAAGACACAGATACATGCACAGGTTAAATAAATAAATAAATATCCAAAGTAACAGTTAAACCTGCCTCTCTGGAGGAAGAGGTGAAGCCTGCACTAAAGTTTAACAATGACAACGTTTTGATCCTACTTGGATCTTCATCAGGCCAGAATGCTGGGAAATGGAAACCACACCAGTATTTATACGGCACTCACGCTAACAGGCTGACAGGCTCTACGATGGCGATAAAACATCCACAAACAACTGACAACAAAAAATTACAAAAACAAAGACAGAGAAAACAGCAACACTAAAGCCATATTTCTATATATTAAACATAGATCTTATTTATCAAACAGTATAGCAACATTTGGAACAACTTCTCTACGGCAGTGAACCGGCTGCTCTGCTGACAGCATGGAGTTTGGTTTTGTTTGATGGAGATGTTTTCACGGCAATATAGAATAGATATTAGAGAGACAATTACGACCCGTTTGACTTTCCAACACCAGCTCGAAGCAGCTTATAATACATCATTAAAACTACCAGTGTAATCAAAGAAATACAATCATTTATTTCATCATCATTAGGATAGTGTGTTTTTAATGCAAATAACCACAATGACAATAACAAGTTGGTCCGGATGCAGCTCCTGTGCTCTGCTGTTCTGGTTTTTGGTGCTCTGTGTGTTTTTCCCACATGTGTTAAACCACGTGGGCATTTGATAAGGTAGATTACATTTTTTGTGCCTCTCTACCATTAACGGCTACCACCGCCGTCTCCCTTAATTGGCTGGATGCTTGTTTTTGTCACCGTTTCCTAGCAAAAAAACAAAAACAACAAAAAATCCCGTGCCAACTAAATAAGAGGAGCTGGCAGGACTTCTAGTGAAAGAGAGCAGAATACCAGCAAGAATTCATTCAAAGCCACATACAAAGACATGACGTTTCAGCTTTCTGAGCATTTTTAAATGAAAAGTAAACTATCAAAACATCAGTTCCCAATCACAGATTTTTACCAAGAAAAAAAAAAAAAAGAAGTTCCCTCATGTCAGATTTCAAGACACTGAAGACTGGTTTGACTCAGTCACAGTGACATGATTGTAGAACTTTGCCTACATCAGCATGAGAAGGATTAAAACAAGAAGCTTGAATGTAAGTAAATTATAGTTAGTCTGCTTGTTCCAGTTTGAAATTTTCGAAAACTCCAACATGATAAATTTAGAATCTGTCCTCTCCACAGATGCTAACATTCTTTCATTCCATAATAAATTGAACTGACTACCTGTAGTGATATGTATTAGTCTAGATAGTTTTGGTATGAGTTGCTCAGTGTTGGAGGTAGCAGCCGTAGAGATGTCTTTACATGGAACTCTATGGCACTCGGTTTGGGTGCTCAAAAAAAAATACATTTGGAAAACAGCAACGTCTCTCTCCAGAACTCATTTACTTCACAGTTACTCAAGATAATCCACACACCGTGTTCATGTAGGAACTATTTTCCTTTACTGAACTACATCCGCCAGCGTCAACACCGTGCAGAAGGAAGCGTATATCTACCCACGGACGAGAGGTAAACATTTAGTTTCAGCAGTTATCGGTAAGCCTTAAGCTATGAACACAAACCTCTCGCGTTCTATTACATTCGAGAGAAGGTCGATTAGAGATTGATAAAAGCACCACAGGTAAGAGGAAAAATATGAATTTTTCATTTTGGGGTGAACTCTCCCTTTAAGCATCAAAGCTGTAAGATGTAGCTCTTCAGGCACCATTTCTATTTCTGTAACTATCTCAGACGCCATTTGACCATCTGCAAAGCACTTCTGTTTGTATACTGGCGCCTCAACTCACAAAACATAAGATTACTGCGTACAATTATTACTTTGAAAAAAAAATGAGCAAAAGCAACAGCATCTCATGCTGACCACAGCTTGTGTCATCACCACTTAGAAAAGGCTCCAGGTAGGAAAGGACAGGGCCCTATTCTTGAATAGAACAAAAGCCTTTTATGCCAACTAACAAGTTCAGGGTTCAAAATGTCCCAGCCACCAACCTCCGCATCGCTGATACAAAAACCCAAGACTTGAGCAGGGAGACTCAGAGTGGACTGATAATGACATGTCATTCTTTTCAAAAAAAAGAAAAAGAGTGAAAGAGCAGGAGATAAAGAGATAGAGAGCGAGAGCGAGAGCAATTTGCTCTTTATTAAACTGATACTTGGTAATGGCCTCATTCTCTGCTCTCAAAGACTCCATTTACACCCTGGATTATGGGGAAAAGCATAAAAGGGGACACATGCACGCACGCACACGGGTGACTGTCAGTATCTTAGAGTCCGTGATGTTCCATATGAATACCTGGAGAGTGGTAAATAACCGATGATTAGACAATCTCCTCTTATTTTTCTCATCCGTCTGTCCTCTTTCCCCGCCCAACATCCAAGCTTCTTTTGCCTCCTTATTTTCTCATTCTCTTCCGTATTCGCTCCCTTATTTGGGCTTTTTTAAATTTTAATAATATTTTCGCTCTTCATCCTTTATTCACCCTGTTTTCTGATTTACCACTTCACCACCATCATTCCCTTCTTCAACTACTGTCTTTTATTCTAACTCCAAATGGGTTGAGTTTGATCAATAGAGTACTATACTCATTATCACACTCTTCAACACACAAAAACACACACACACGCACACACACTCACAGTGTGTTAAGAAGTCCATTGTGCAGGCTGAATGCAGACGGTGCAATTCCCTGGATGAAGTATAAAGAGCGACGAGGGTCCATTAGCCGGCCAGATACATTTAAAGTGATACCTTGACATTATGTATTTTTGCCCAGAGTCATTGAGAAGATGAAATGGTGTGCCATGTGAGTGGGAAAACGCAGAGTCTAATTAGCACAAAACACTTTTTGTGTCATTTGCATTCAAAGGGCATGTGGCTTGTTCTAGGGGAGACAAAACATTCTAAAAGACTTCACACACACATGTATTACAGCAACCTGAAAAACAGCCTCTTAGTAGAAAACCTTTTCTCTTTCCTTCTCATGCATAAATGTGTCTTCACTTTTATTAGTCTTAGTTTAAAGGTACTATGTGGAACTTTCTGAAAAGCGGGGTTATTAATGACACCGGTGGCTGTTAAGTGAACTGCAGTCAGCACGTTGTCTCTCACTAGCGAGCATCGGCCAAAACAGTGGCCTGATTATGATCATGTAGTATATTTAGAATAGCTTTTCTATCTGAAATGTTCCTACATTTTATTGAAACATTTTGCACCGGCACTTACTGCTTGCCATTTGCAAAATTACTTTATCAGCTAACGTTGCAAAGCAACCAACGCCATATCCCTAAAGCGTAGCTAAGTTACAGCTAGCTGGCTAACCTTAGCTTGGGTTACAGTTAGCTAGTTGGTCGCCCCTGCCTTGCATCGCTATTGGCTAGGAGAGAGCAATCGTTGGTTAGACACCTTTGCTTTGTACTGTTGCATCATTTGTTGTTGGCTGAAATCAACAGCATTTGTCATAATACACAAGTTAGTATCACGGATGACGTTAGCTGGTAAAGAGAATTGGCAAGCTACTCAACTAACATATCCACTCAGATTGTATTTCGCTAACCATAACATTAGCAAGCAGGCGAGCTAAGGTTAGCCAGCTAGCTGTAATTTAGCTACGCTGCATGGATCTGGCGTTGGTTGCTTCGTACCGTTAGCTGAGAAAGCAACTAACTCAGCTAGCCAGATCAGCCCAGAGAGTCTGGATGAATAAGCTGATGTTTTTTCCACTCAAGACAGTATTTCACCATGTTAGCTACACACTGTAGGGGAGCTGAAGATAGGCAAGGCACTCAGGAGTGCATGTAAACGTCAAAGACAGTCCAGAGTTAAAGGCAACCAAAAAAGAGGTCTCATTTTATAAATACAAGGTGGTTAATACATGTAAACTCTTACAAATAGTACCTTTAATTATAGGTTTTCCTGCAGAGTTTTGTGCGATATGCAAGCAGTGTAGTCTAATAATAAATTAGAATATTATCTCCATAAAGATGAGCATGAAAAAAGAAAACAAATGCCAATTTACAGATGTCCTCATGAAGATAAAGAAGAAATATCTGAACTCGGTTCATTATCCAGTTTCCCACAAACTAAATGAAACGAATGTGGTGAATGCTTCTGTTCAGTTGCATTTCACAACACAAAGTGATACTTATATCGTTGCATTAATGTTAATGTTTTTCCAAACATAAAAGCCCACTTTGTTGTGGCTTCTAGCGTCAGTATGTCTGTGTCTGGTCTCACCTCTTCTCCCAGGAGTTGAGCCCCAGTATGTTGATCAGTAGTCTGCAGTAGTAGAAGGCTGACTGAGGTGTCTCGGTCTCTGGTTCAGTCTGCTGCACTGCCTTCATGTTCAGGTCCTCACCTCTCTGAAACATTCAACAATTCACTTTCATGCAAAAATAAATTAACAATATCATAGAAACTAAACAGAAAGCGAGATGGTGTGAGAGCCATGACTGAGAAAAGGATCACACTTTGATTAAATCATTTTTTCTTTTAGCCGATATGAACAAATCAAATCAAATGATGATCAGAATAGAGAAACCAACATCAGAAAGCTGTTTTTGTGTTGATTTTCAAAATATCACAACCTTTTCTTGATAATAGCTTCAGATTTATTACAAAGCAGTATTCACTACGGATAGTGCTGCACTTATGGGCCACCACTATTTGAGTATCCACCTCATCAGGACATGCTGGGAACTACGGATTCAGAGATTCAAAAGGCAAAACTCATTTTATTCATGCGAGTACGGACACAACGTACATGAAAAACAAACTCTCTTTCGGCAGCGCTCTGCTTCAGGATGGCATTGATCACGTCGCTCTCCTGCTTTTCTGACACGCAGGCCGGAGGAGGGGCCGGGATGTTGAGTGGCATACCTGAGGGGACCAATCAGGAGACAAACTCAGCTGTGGTGTTGTCAGAATTCCTGTTTCGTTCCATTTAGGTCTTTAGGACAACAGTTAGGCCCATGTGTAACAGGACCTTGGTTAGTGAGTGTCCACCTTTGATTTGATGGAGATTCCTCTGTTTTTACAGTACAAATTGAAGAATGGCAAAAAGTTCACTGAAACTCAATGAGTTGCTGCCAACATAGTGTTCAATTTTAAAAATCATCCTAAGATACAGTAGAAGCAAAAAAAGATTGACAGCTCACTTTCAAACATATTGGTACTGGCTTTCAGAGACATGAAAACTCCTTCATGTGTGTTTGAACAGTATATGTCAAATGTTTTATAAACTGTATTGTAGATTGAACGACCATTATGACGTGCACACAATACCTGCTCTCTGCAGACACTCAGGACTCGAGTACCCCAGGTACTGCAGCATTTCATCCAGCGAGTCGTCTTCCTCCCTTAGTGAATCCCACGACGGCACCGCCTCCCGACACACGCGTTTAGCCAATGGCGGAGCCAGAAGAGGCTCCAAGCCTGACTCCCCTCGATCCTTCTCCCCATCCATCCTATGCTCGATACTCTCCTCCCCCCGCTCCTCCTCTTCTCCCATCCCCTCCTCTGTGACTGTCCTCTCCTCCTCTTCTTCCTCCTCCCCCTCTGCCTGAAACCCTTGCATTTCGCCCTCCGTCCCTCTCCCCGCCTCGCTCTCCTCCCGCCCCTCCTCTTCGCTGTCTGCCCTCTTCACTCCGTCCATCGTTTTCAGTAGATCTGCTGGCAAGGTGCGTAAGTGAAGACTCGCGCCGTGAGGCGACTGTGTGCGAGACATGAATGTGTTCGTCGGGCTGTTTGGGGAACACGGCGGAGGACCGTAGAGAACGGCAGAGTCCCAGGAGTGTTTTCCGGCGACATCTCGGATGATGACGCGAACGCAAGCGGGAGCAGAGGACAAACCGGCTGTCATTCCACCTCCTGGTACACCAGACTCTGATCGGATCTGGGAAATGGAGGAGGACACGGGATGGTGGTTAAACACTCAACGTGCTGAATATCATTCTGATGCCGAGAACCACATTTTCACATAATCCACATCAAACCTTCTTAAATACCTTTTATTCACTCACTTTGCTTCCTTTTAGCTACAGCTTCTCCTTTGCAACTTGTAGAACTTTTATAAGGAAAGTCAGTAGACGACAATCCATCTTAACATCAGCAGCAAACTTCAGCGAAAAGCAATTGTGCTTCTTATTAAATATTTAAATGAATTATATCTCAAGCTGCACTGAAAAGCATCAAAAACTATTGTGTTATGTTTTACTACTTAATACCATTGCATGTTAACGTGCTTACAGTTATTACCATGTCAGTTACTAGTAATCAGTAAAAGAAAGGAGAAGTGTAGCTTAGTGGGATTTTCAATGTCATGGATGAATATTTAGCGGATTTCAATAATGTGGATGAGGCCCAACTCTCTCGTGAGATTTCAGAACGAGACTTCTTCTTGAGCTCAACTTGGTTTGATACGACAATAAACAGAAAGCAAAAGGTAAATGATTTCTCTGAGATTAATGTCACTTTAGGGGTCTTTCCATAATGTTGTCAGACATCTATGATAACAAGTGGCAAAAAGAAGCACTTTGACCAGGGTCCCAAATTACCCTTAAAGATGAGAAGCAAGAAACTAGGTCCTTTTAGGTCAGAGATCCGTTGGTCTTCATCAGTCATGATTATACACATTATAAACTGGGCAGAAAAAGTCATGTCGTGTGACAGTGATAGTACATACAAAGCGTCATCTTTTGTCGGGGCCAGGTTACCTGATACACGGAGAGCAGTGTGGAGCCGTTCAGGACCAGAAACTGTAGGTTTGGTGAATGGAAAAGCTCCGGTCCAAGATCTGCACTCTCACAGAAGGGGTTGTCTTGGTTTTCACACACCTACAAAACATGCAAAGATCAAAAGTATTGAAAACTATTTGTATTCCCCTTAAGACAAAAAACAAGTAAACATCACCAAATGTAGTACAGCATATACTGCCATTATTACCACCAAACAGCCAAGTAACAGTACCTGACTAGACAGAGTAGCAGGCCCTCCGGACATCGGATAGTGTCCGAGATGGTTGACCAAGTGTGTGATAACTGTTCTGGCTGCGATGGAAACCAGGCCCTGCTGGATGCGGCTACGGACTGCAGAGAGAGAAGGAAAACACAGACAGTATTACTCACAAGGTTATAGTTAAGAAGAATACTTTTAGGGTGATTAGGGTATCAGGATATTAAAAGTCTACGGTTCATTTCTAAATGTTTTTGTTTAGTGGGCTAAAAGATGCTCTGACTTGATATTCAGGTTCCAAGTTGCAACTAAACTTCAGCGAAAACTAGGAAGAGGTCCAAACACACGTTCGGCTTGTACATAGTTTGCCCCATGCTGAGCAGAAGCCAATGCCATCACACACTGTGCTGCCAGCAGATCCTGGCTAATCAACATCATTACACACACACTGTGACACACACACACACACACACACTTTCCAAGAGCTCCTTATTGACAGGGCTGTGTGTAGAGTACAGATATGTATTGACCAGACATTCTCGACAACTTCCGAAGCCTCAGGCAAGCTCGGAAAGGAGGGAGGGAGGAAAAAACTCTCCCTCCCAAACAAAAAAAAGAAAAGAAAAATGACCGGTAAAGAAAATAAATTTGTATAACAGAATATTAGCAGAGAGTAATGTTAAAGGTGAAATAGATGAAAGGAAGTGAAGCAGCAAAGACAAGAAGATACAAATAAAGAGATGTGCGAAAAGAAGAGAAGCATGGTCTATCACGGTGCTCCAGTCATTAGACCAGACACTGTGTCCTGGTGGGCCACAGCAGGGGACGATAGACACTCTCACACGGATGCAGACAGGCGCGCACACACACACACACACACACACACACACACACACACACACACACACACACACGTTTCCCATCTCTAGTGATTGGCAGTGGTTTGATGGACGGCTCTGGGTTACTGCGTGTCTGTCAGTGCACCACTTTGCATGCATAGAAGAATTACGGAATAGATATACCTTGTATGTCTGTAATATATTTCTGACCACGTGAATGGCAAAATTACATATTCACACGCTCAGACTCGTCTCTTGAAAATCACTAAATATACGGAATCGTCACAGAAGACGGGCCTGGAAGTGCTGGGCAGCGTGCGCCTGCTGTTAGATGAATTACCTTCAGTGACAGGCTGCAGTTTGCTGGAGCGCTCGGAGTCCGGGCTGTGCAGCGGTTCTGGCTCTCGGAGGCTCTCCAGCGGCAGGAACGGGTCGTAGTCAGGACTCAGCAGGTCCGACAGCTGCAGCGGGTAATACTTGGGACTGTTGAAAGACTGGGCTCCGTACACACAACCATGTAATACCTGGACAATTTGAAAAGAAAAAGGGATTTCAGATCCGCCTCCTTTACAGCCCACGTTCAGCTTAACTGGACTGATGCTTGTACTTTATATGGTAACATTTTTCAATTTAAGACATCTTTTGGGGAAAGGTACAGTTTGGTTGTATGAGGTAATTATCCATAGTCGTGTATTACCTACAGTGGATGGATGTTTGTATAAACAGACGGGAGTAACAGCACAGGAGCAAAGCAATGTACAGCAGTGTTCGGAAGCAGCAGGAACATTTGTTAGACAGCTAAAAAAAAAAAATCTATATCACTTTAAGTGTACGATATATTTAGTATATTTCCAACGCTTCACCTTGCTGTCAGACAGCCATTTCCGATGGGTAACTGAAGCTGTTATATCCATCTATGCTCTCCTCAAAGCCACCAGAATCCTTTGACAGAAACAGTAGTTTTACCTCGAAGAACACAGGAGTTGCTGGTCTACCGCTGCATTGATTGGTTCGTTAGTTAGTGTTATTGTGTGACTTTAGTGTTTTAAAGGGTTAGGTTGGATTCACTAAAGTCACAAAATAACACAAACAAACTAACCGATTACCAACTTAAAATGACTGGGGGGGGGGGGCAAAGGAACATTTATTTTTTTTGTGCCTTTGAAGAGAGCATAGATGGATACAACAGCTTCAGTTCCGATGAATGGTGAAAATATTCCAAATGTAGCGTACACTTAAACTGATATTGATTTTCTTTAGGTGGGTCTAATGTCGAACTATCCCTTTAAGTGAATGCTGACCAGCCACTGCTGAATAAACCTTACTCGTGTGTGTGTGTGTGTGTGTGTGTGTGTTAAGGGCTTTGTCATAAACACACATGCACACCTTATAAATACAGCTGAGCAGAGTCTTGGTCGGCTGATCTTTCTCTGGAGGGCTTCGTGTTTGAACGGGTTGAAGAAGAGTCTTTGGAGGCAGAGCCATCACCCAGTCCAACAGACACAACAGCAGGGACACCACCAGCTGCGACACACACACAGGCACACGCGGGTATAAAGTTACTCTCGAAGCAAAATGAGTAATATCGTGAGCGTCCGGGAGAATATGTGGGCATGTGTGTGTGTGTGTGTGTATTACCCTCTTATCCAGTTCATGAGGGGAAGACTCGGTATTAGGCAGCAAGTGTGTGATGGTGGCGATCAAAATCTAAGCAGAATAAAATCAGAAAAAATTATTGTTAATTATGTTAAAAATGTTACTACTACAGCAACTACTACTACTGCTGCTGCTGTTACCATTTGTAAAAAAAGAAAAACCGAAAACCACAATAGAGCAGTGAGAACTAAAGCAGCAACATTTAGAGACCTCTAAATTAAGATTTTCAAAACAATTTGGTGTATCTAATAAGTGCCTTAGCTTTACTCAATATAATATAAATAATAAATGACACCAGTATTTGGAAAGATTCCAATAATTGTTGTTATAAGTGTGTTAGAAGTGCACAGAAGTTCATGTCTCACCTCTACGATCTTCTTCGGAGTGTCGGGGGGGAATTTCTGAAGATGATCCACATGACTGATCAGGAGGTGAAGGATGTCCGACGCCACCAGTGCTACATTCTTATTGGGGTACTGGTACACAATAATGTATTTGTGTTAATTCATAGGTTGTGTGAGTGCATTCATTAATAGCCAACATTTAAAAAAATAAAACATCAACAGTTGCAGTTTATCAAACAGATATTTTAGTGTTAAAAAGATCTATTTCATCTTAAATGAGGGAATGTTAAACGCTAGGGAAGAGATTATACCCATGAATTCTGCAGTCATTTCAGTACTCTGTGACACTCCAATGACTGATGAGATGATTTGTGTCTGTAAAAATGATTTGACAGTATGAGGCATATTTGATGCTGAATATGTTTTCTTGTAATTGTTGTTTTATGTTAAATATTCATTAAAGCGCATCAGTTGTGCTCTGATGAGGATAAAATGCTTCTAGATAGGAGGAGGGGCGGGTATTGGGATGAGGAGGACAACAGCAAAAAGTGGCTCTTCATGGTAATATGACAATCCCTAAAGCTTTGTGTGTATGTGTGTGTGTGAGATTGTGTGTGTGTGAATATCACAGGGGCCCATTTCTGAGGTTACTGGCTGCTGGTGTGAAGGCAAGAGATGCAAGTGGACAAGATGTGTGTGTATATATGTGTGATAGTGTGTGTGTGTGAGATAGTGTGTGTGTGTGTGACACAGCTTGCAGCATTCCCCCTGGATTAGTCTCCTATCTGAAGGAGAACCAAACATATTGTCTGTCCAGGGTTTGCTCCCAGGAGTAAGTGTGTGTGTGTGTTGCTGTAATGTGTTAGCAGGCCATTGGCTGCCGATACACAAGCTAGGGATTCCAAGGTGGGCAAGTATGTATGCGTGTGTGTGCGCATGTGTCCATCTAGAGCTGCTTGGCTATAGATGAGACAGTAAATGTTGGACAGTATTATTCGGATCCACAGGCCTCCCAGTCTAGTGGCCTGAAACAGACAATACCGACTGAGGCAATTTCCCCAACACTAACAATCATCTCCAACAATGTTTTTCCATCACACTTTGGCTCCATGCAGCCCGCCATGTCAGGGTAACGGCCCAACACTAAACAAATTCAGCTCTCATTGTGTGATATCAAACTCCAAATAAATATGCAAAAAACGATTGTGGATTACATAGAAAAAAAAAAAAAAAAAACTGTTGCTGTGACAATGGCTAAATGTAAAGCTACTACTTTAAACCTACTGGAATATATTAAACTATGGGTAATTAAGTTATTTCCCTTCTGCGATTAATGTGTTCTTTTAAGGCCTCATCACATTTCCAGACAGAGGAGATACAGATGCTAACGCACCAAAGTGTAGATCAGTCTCGCACCAACTAAAGCAGCACAGAGGTGTCACTGACCTTCAGAGTAACACAGATGACGTTGAGAGCCTCTTTGATCTGCGGATGTTGAGTCCCGTCAGCCAACTCCTCACACATCCAGATACCCAGACTGCACAGAGCCACGCACCTAACGGAACAGATTCAGCATGAGCAGCTGTTGTACACAAGCAGACACACATACAGTCGTGATCCACACGACAAGCACACACTTCACACATGTATTCTTTAACAGGAAAATAAAACCATGTTGGTAACACAAATAGGTGCAACCAGATGTTCTGCTGTTACAATAACACAACTGACAGGTAATTTGCTAATTGCTTATTAAATAAGTTAATTCATTGGCTCTGGTGTCAAAGCTGAGGTGATGAATCATTTTAAAATATATTGAGCATCAAACTATTCTCATGCATCAATTCATGGTGGGAATATATTTTTTGATGTAAATGAACAAAATGCATTGAACACAATGCAGTAATGCTCTCAGGCATTGTGTATTGCTTTAATTATGTTACCCCATCGATCTACTTTTCTCATTTAATGTTATATCTCTGCTGAGTCAACACACGCATATAGGCAAGATTTTGTCTTCTGTCCTCTTCGCTTGTTCGGGGATGTAACCTGTATTGATGATGTCAATTATACATTAATTCATTTAAATGAATTTACAATATTATTTAATTATGTCTGCTTGTTTTCTAAACTTTCTGCACATTGAAAACATTCCCCGCATATCTGTGTTCAACGAGAAGTCGAGAACAAAGTCGTAAAGTTACGACAATTCGTGGAACTGAATGAGAATAAAGTCACAATAAGTGTGACAGCTTACCTCGCAGGAGCAGAGGGTTCGTCCCTGGCAGAGCTCAGGATGGTTTTGATAATATGCTCCTAAAAACCAAAGCATCCAGACAAACACAGTTAATGAGCCTCACACAATACAAGGCATTAGTTATCTACATACTGGATCAGTATGTAGACACGCACACATGCGCGCGCTGCACCAAAAACAGACACACAGGCACAGTCTAGACGTATCCACACACACACACACACACACACACTGGTCCCGTCCCTCCGGTCGCCGTTAATGACCGCTTAGTGATTCAAAACAAGTTTCTGTCTTGTACGGAACCAGTGAGCAGGCCTGAGGTGCTGCCACGCATGGCATTAGCGCTTTACACGGCGGCAGCAACAACAGCAACAGCAACAGCAACAGCAACAACAACAACAACAACAACAACAACATTACTCCCATTATAGCTCTGGACTGTTACAAGAATGGCTAATGAGACATTAACCTATTAGTCTGGTTCTGAGACCAGATGGGGGTGCATTACAAGGTTTGGACTGACCTGGATTACACACAAAGTAGAGTTTTGTTTAAATGTTTGACCCAATGCTTTGGTGGACGTCAATTTTAAAGTATGCTGACATGTTTGGAGTCAGCAAGAGCAGTGTGTCTGTGACAGAGACGACAGGTGTATGATGCTCTTCTCTACATTAAGAATTATAATAGGACTATTAATTTATCTGTTTGTCTAAAAACATTTTTTTTTGTATTATCGTCTCTTCCCCCTATTCTACTGTGGTTTCCCATCATGATATTGCCCAAGCACAGAGGCATGACGACTTGTCTCAGCCGTTATTGCATCCATGTACCTTGACGTCAGGGAACTTGGTGAGCACCACATCGGCTGTGGTGGGATGGAGGGCCGGAAGCTCCTCATACAAGTTGGGAAAGCACACCAGAGATCCCAGCAGGATCTGGGCCTCCACTCTTGGAGCCTATGACAGGAGGAGGAAAAAAGAAAGAAGAGACAAAGACAGAGGAAATTCAAAAGAGAATTTTTTTTTTAAATGACACATGTATGCACCAGCTTGTAATCTTCAGGTGTCTCACAGTAAATGCAAAACAACACTGCTGAAGAGCATGTTTCTTACGTTGAGTGATGAGCAAGCGGTGACTCTCGAAGCCGCTATGATGAAGTCCAGGATCAGCATGGTGGCCCCGGGGAGACCGATACTGAAGAACCTGGGACTGCAGTGTTTTATGATGGTGTTCACAATGTCCTGTAGAAACCACAAACACACGCCCAGAGCTATAGCAGTCGCACAGCCTGCGCAAATTTTCAAAAAGCCCACGTTCCATCCTTTAATCTGAAGCAGTACAAACTTAAAAACATCGCTCTACTTTAAATATGTTTGTCGCCTACAAAGCACGTGCGCACACAGCCTACCTGGTCTTGGTGCAGCAGTCCTTGGTGCATGATGTTGTAGAAGTGCGTGAGAAAGTCAGAGTTTGGGGAGACATCTTGCCGTCTCTTCATGATCCTGCAGATCAGCTTGTAGGCGTGAAGCTTCCCCTGTTTGTAACGCTCCGTCAGCATGGTGGCCTGGAGGAAAACACGCACGTGTGTACATATAAGAATACATTTACCTATGCGAGTAGGTTGAGGTGTTTGTGGAGGTATCCATTTCTCTGTGTGTGATATATTTTTTCTTTTCCTACCTTAAAGAGCCACGGGGTGAGGATTCTCAGAGGTGGGATCAGAACAGGGGGCGGGGGAGACGACTGGTTGTCCAGAGAAATGCCCAAATTATCTCTTATCTGGAAAGAAATAGTTTTGTTTTCACACAAAACCCCCACAATCTTTATAGAAAATCTCATCGTTTGTAAATGTAATAATTGCTTGTGCCAGCACACACCTTGGCCAGGTTTTGCCACAGTTCGCACAGATAGTCAAAGACCTGCGCATGGATCTCGGGGTCTTTGATGCTATTGACGTCCCCCAGGATGCCCAGCATCCTCCGCCACATTACCGTGGCAACATCAGCGTGCCATCCAGTTAGAGAGCCACCCGCCATGACGCTGCAGTCCTCGCTGGGGAACTCGCTGGTTTCTAGAATCAAATCAATGAATCGATCAGTTACTCTTGCTCAGTACAAGACAACGTAGAAGTACATGTTTGAGAATGTGCATGAGGGTTACCCAGGTCATCTGGAGTCTGCAGCACAGAGTTGTGGAGCTTGTGGTCCTGCTGTAGGTGTGAGTGGGAGTGTGTGTGATCCGGGTGCTCTGCGGTCAGTGTGGCGGGGGAGGGCGTCTGGGAGCGAGAGCCCCCAAGGGAGTGCATGGGAGACGCACTCTCAGAACCTGGACAGAGATATGCACGACAAGGAGAAGAAAAAAAAAAACGTTTTGTCATCGAGTGTTCGAGAAGCCTGTATTCTTGGGCCAAAATTGTAAAGCTGCTTGTTGATCCAACATTATGTAGTTTTGGCACAAACCAGGAAAAAGATTTCAATAGCTATCCACCAAATCAGATTTCTCTAAGATGGTGTGTGTGATGTGGTATGCAGTAAAATATGTAGTATTTAGGCCGTTAGTTTGGATATTGAGATCTGCTGAAATAATACAGTAGCTAGAGAGATCTTTGCATACCGGTAACAGTGACTGTGTGGCTGAGGCTGCTGGTCTCCGAGTCGATGTGAAGTGTCGTCAAACTGGCTACTTCATGTTCGTCACAGGCCACGCCCCCTCCCAGGCTGTCCTGGTCCAGTGAGCTGCCTCGACCTCCGCCCCCAGATCCAACACCTCCTCCACAAGCTTCTGAACTGAAAGTAAAGTCTAAAAAAAAAAAAGAAAATGCTGACCATTATACATTTTCCATGGGCAACGTTTCCAGATGGAGACAAATCACAGGTATCTATTTATATCACACAACAGCAACTTATAAGGACCGTTTCTTTTCATTTTGACAAAATAAAACATGTACGGCAAACTGAAATCATAGTGATCTTTGTATAAAACTAAATGTGTCACAAACTCTGTAACAGTGCCTCAGTTTGTTACTTACTCTCAAACTTGCAAGTGGAGTACTGAAAGGCATTGAAGGAGTCCGACTGGCTGTCTGAGCTGATGATGTCTGAACCGCTGGCGCTCGCAGGTGAGGTCCATTCAGAGGGAACCCCCGGATCATCAATGGGACGGGGGTCATCCGAGGGCCGCGATCCGGGACTCTGTCCCGCCTCCAGGAGCTCTGGCAGGTCCCTGGGAACCTCCAGACTGCCAGGGCTGCTGCCACGACGGCCCTGTGTGTAGAGAAACTTAGATCTTTGGTAATTCTTTATTTCCGCGTTCAATCGCCAGCCGTGATTGGCCACCGAGCCGTAGCTCTTTTTCTAATACACTGAAACATTCATCTTTAAAACCTGTGTGTGTATGTTGTTCTCACCGCTGTTCCTTTGGCCCTCAGTCTCTCCTGAATAAACTCATCCATGAGGTCAGAGAAGTTCGGGTTGGTGCTTCCTACGTCACTGGAGACCGGACGGGCCTTCTGGATCACCTCCTCTTTGTTGGCTAAAAGGCAGATACATGATGGTAGTCAAAGAGAGTACGGAGATCACACACACACACAGTAAAGGGATGAAGATTCACAGGTGGACACGCAGACAGGTGAGATGAACAAACTCACAATGATAGACAGTAGCTGATCCGTACATCCACAAACCACTCAAAGACACAAAACTGAGAAATGATGTTTAGGAGTCTGTAAGATATATTGTATAATAAAGTCTGACTTGCTGACTATAAGTAGATTATGTGTATGAACCACTCCATAAGGGATATGATGACATCATTAATCTTACCCGTCTCACTTTCTAACAGTCAGAGAAACTCTCGTTGGATAAGTTATGTGAGTCAAGTGTTCAGATATTTATGATAAAATGTTACAATATCTATACAACAAACTGGAGCTTCTCTGGCTTTGCGAGGGCCGTCCTGATGTGTGTGTACTGTAGGCCCTGAAGTTAGCAAAAGACTGACTGTTAAACAAAAGCCACGACACAGCAGGCAAACCCACCGGAGAAGCAATGCAGGAGTTAATTCACACCATGCACGGAGAACAAATGAGAGAGTATCACCTTGTTAGGTCCAAACAGGCAGCATATCAGAGGCCTATATTAGTGCGGTTGTGTTACTATGAGTTGTGTTGCTGTTGGCTTGGCGGCAACGACATCGGTCGGTGTGAGTTTGCAAACTCTAAGGAGCAGAGAGCATCCATCAATCCCAAATCAGATGAGAGTAAATATTAATCCCTGAACTTGTGTCTGACAGAGCCGGGTCTCATCCAGACCCAACACCAGGACGTTGATCAATGAAAGCTCAGTTGTTGGACACACAGTGAAGATCTTGCCTTTGCTGCCACCTAGCTGATTAAAGTTTCTCCTTGCTGCACATTTTTATCACTTCAAGATTTAAGACCTGAAAACTCCACTAACAGCATGGCGACTTACCGAAGAACAAGACAACATGGTGATCTTACGGAGGCACTTAAAGTATTTACCAACTGAACTAACACAGCCCAAAATGTCTGTTTGTTCAGATTCTTCTCAAACTAACTAACCTTATAACATTACTGCATATCCCTGCTTACAATTCGTATGTTATTCAGATACTTCCTTTGCCTGGAATAACATACAACATACCGTCTACAAATCTACAATTCCACTGTTATGGTTATTTGCCATGACATCACCAGGAACAGGAAAAAAGACTTGGATTGGGATCAACTTGTTCAGGCCAATATATTCTACCGTATACGTCTCTCAATCCCATTATTGTATCAATAAAAGCCCAATAAATAAACGCCCACATGCCTACATGTACAATGCATTTCCACCACAGCATGAACAGGTTCAAATAAGAAGCAGCTCTATAGAAATGCTAAGCTTAGACGTTAGCTGACATTAGCTACATTTCCCACTCCATCGTGTCTTTACGTAACTGATAACCGGCTCTGCATGTCTGTGCACTGGAGATGTGTGTTTTCTGTACGTGCTCATCGGGATGTGAGACATGCACATTTTTAGTACTACGATCTGTGAAGTTGTTTGGTTAAGCTTATAGATATGATAGAGGACTCCACCTGTGTTCGGCAATCAACGAGTATAAGTAGTTCAACACACAGCTGGACAGACAACCAGACAGACACGGCACATAACATCTGGTTTTAGACTGCACAGAGTAAGCTGAGGTTGTCTTAATTCACTGTAACTTGTAAAAGTGGAGCTGCTGTCAATATTGTTGATCCACAGAAGAATGTTATGATTCACATGAACTATCGTGACAAAACGTTTCTGGCCTGCGCTGTAAAATTGTGCAGCACAAAGGTAGACGAACCAGACTTGCATATAAAGTATATGCAAGTCTGAAGTAAAATAAGAAAGGAAGGGAAAAAAAAACAAAAAAAATGGGAATGCGCATCAGCAATTCCATCATTCACAAATTGGGGTGAAGAATCCCTGTGCTGGTATAAAACATCTGAACCTCACGACAAAATAATTTGAACCCAGTTCTGCCGTCTGCTGCACCGAGGATAAGAATGAATAGAAAAAGCTGCACTGCTGATTCACATGTGCAGTTATCGTGTTTGATGTTGTCTTATGGCGAGGTACAAAGCAAATAACCATCAAGATTGTTGATTTGAAACTCATACCTTTTCATATCCTTTCAAATTCTGTGTGTACCACTATTATCGAGATTATTCTCACATAAGGTCCTATGCTGCATTCTAGTGGCCTGCGAAGGAACTACAGAAACATGTTGCCACTAGTAACTACTAATCGACTCGATTGATTTACATTCATGAACTCAAATATTATATCTACACATGTAAATCTAAATGTAATAGCGCTCTGATGGAATATGCCGTGAGGTATTCATGTAAAGCCGAGACGGTTTACTTTGTATCTGTGCTTCTATCTGTTCTACAGGCGGTTGTGTTTTTTCTGTGGACTGGGGTTGTTCCTCCAGTGCAGCTGAAGAGTGGCCGGAGTCCGGGGAGGAGGCGAGGGAGGCACGAGGAGGCGGCCGCATGCAACATCGAGGGGGGGGAGGAGGAGGTGGGGAAGAGGAGGGGGAGAGGAGAGGAGGTTAATATCCCAAAGCCCGAAGAAGGAAGAGGACAGGAGGAGGAGGAGGAGGAGGAGGTCGGGGGCTTCCGAGGTAGAGGAACAGGTGGGAAGGTATGAGGCGGGGAGGGGGGGTCCTTGACAGGAGGCAGGCTGGAGGAAGGGGCTACGATCAAGAGGAAACACATCAACAGGGAGTTTGAATTTCAGTCCAGCAGCAAGATGATGAGTGTCAGCCCCAAAAAATAAAAAAAATCATTCCATCATAACAAACCAGTTAAAAACAGCCAAAAAGGAAAAGAGAGTTGTTGGTGTTTGTGTGTTGATGAGTATTTCTTTCCAAAGTTGTGTCCTTTGTGAGCGCTTCGTTTCGTTCGTTGCCATCCTCACCTGGCGCTGTCGTCTTTCGCCCAAAGTAGCCCAGGACATGGGAGTAGAGGTCTCTGAGCGAGGCATCGCCCATGGCGGCACGACCCTGTCGCTGTGGCGACGAGCCTTGGGATGACCCCTGACCTCGGGGCCGCGGCTTCGAAGACAGTGCGTGAACAACGGTCTTGTAGACGCCGCCGAGGAGGGCCCCCTGGTGGTGCCGCGAGGCGGTGCTGCCGGGCTCCTGGGACCGGGAGCGGGAGGCTCGTGATCGCAAGGCGGAGCGTCCCAGGCGGCCGCGCACACCTGACGACGCCCCGGAGGAACTTGAGCTGCCCGACGACGCCTCCGTGTGAGCCTCGGAGCCCAGGTTGGGTCCCACACAGGACCCGGGATGCTGTTTGTCCTTGTCGCCTCCGGTCCCGGCCCTGCTTTCCGGGCCTCCGGCGGTCGCTGCGTTTCCTGCCCCACTGCTATCCGAAACGGCTCCTAGTTTCTCATGTGGCCCTGCTCTGTTGATGATCCCGGCCGCGGGGCCAAACTTACCTGCGCCTCCTGTTCCTGCTCCAGCCCCCGGCCTCTCCCCGGCTGAGTGGCTGTGTGTGTGGAAGTGACTGAGGCGGCGCAGCCGGGCTTTCCAGTGGGCCTCCTTACTCTCGAGGGGGTTGTGGAACTGCACGGACTCAGTCGAGGGCCGGAAGCTCACATGAACGCCCCCGGACTGGTGCCTCTTGGTGCTACTACGGGACGTCTTGGCTTTAACTGGGTCTAGAGTTTGATTTGATTCAGTGCTACATTCTACTGTGTTAGTGTCTGGTCTAATTAAAATGGACCTCTCATTTACTGTGGCCTCTTTACCACCCTGCTTCTCTTCTCCTGTTTCCCTCCACGCATCACATTTCCCTTCCAATCCCTCCGCCTTTGCTCCTCCCTTTTTCTCCCCAGTGTGTCTTTCTAAGGTAGCGCCCCCCCGAGCACTCGGCGACGGCCACTGACACTGCAGCTCCAGGCACTCGTAGATGCTGCGCTGCTCTGCCTCGTTCTCCTCCGTTGAATCCACACTGCTGTGTCTCACTGATTCACTTACCTGCCTGTCCTCTCTCACCACCTGTCTTGCCTCTCCTACCTGCCCTGGGTATTCCATCTGTGTTCTCGCGATCCCCGTTTGCACGGGTAAAGTTACAACACTGCTTTCTGGCACGCGACCGGGACTATCTCTCTCTCCTGCCTCCTCCTTCCTCTCACCTCCTTTGTTAGTGAGGTAGTCCCTGATAGAGGAGAATAAATCGTCCTCTGCCCCAGCCCCCATTTCGCCCTCTTCTACATCAATTTCCTTTTCGGACGAAAAGGTGAAGGCGGAATCCCAGTCGCTTACCCAATCCGAACTAGAGCCCCGGTTCCGAGAGCCAATCTGGTCGTAAACACTACCATCATCTTGTCCCTCTGAGGACGAGGAAACGACACCGTTGGAGAAGGTTAAAGGGGTGGGAGAGGGGGAGGTGAGGGTGTGTGGGAGTGGCTGAGCTGCGTGGCTGTCGGCTGCGTGTGAGGAGGGAGTTGTTGAGTGGTGGTGGGTGGGGTTGGGGATCGCAGCGGGATCCCCCCACGGGTCTTCACCTTTGACCCGCTCAGCGATGAAGGGCTCCATGACGTCAGAGGCGCTGCTGCTCCTTGCAAGGGAGGAAGGGGCGGGGCCGTCCAGGTCGCAAGCCCCTCCCTGGAAGACGTCAGAGCAAGAGGTGGGAGGGGCCTCGTCGCTCTGCGAGGAGTGGCGCATCCGAGAGGTGCGGGATGTCAGTGTGATGGGCGGGTCCTCGAGGTCTGATTATTGGGGGGGAGACGAAGGAAGGGGAGTGAGGTTAGTGACGGGGTCAACGGGAGTGGATACATGTAAACGCACATATACAGACTCAAACACACTTCTAAATGAACAAAGACACACACCCCCCCCTCTCCAAAAAAAGAATCTGCAAACGCATAGTCCAAAACATAAAGTTCCATGAGTGTGATCATCAATATTCTACAGATTATCTTAACTTTCACAGCAGTTAAGTGGATGGACATGACTACAAGATGGTGTTCAAGAGATGTGAATTACAGATTTCAAGTTTTTCTAAACAGATTTTCCAAATTTTTGAATAATACACTTATTTGAGCATAAAGGAGTAAGTGCTGAAGCAATCTAATCTCGGCTCCTTCATCAAGTCACCACATCCTGGTCACTAGTCGAGTTAGCCTAGTGAGACAAAATATAAACTGGATTCAGAGGAGTGTTCTGGTGGCTGAGACAGTTTGCTACATCTAGCTGCTTTAACAGAAGTCACGACTTGAGATCATTCTAATAGCGACCGACTTGTGGTTTATGTAATGAGTAACAATAATCCTTTGAAAGGAAAGATTATGCAAAGCGGGCAAAGCCATACCACAAATGGCATGCACTCACGCCTTGCTGCTAGAGGTTAGCCTCAATCACAAAATGCAAATATCCAATATCTGTTGTGTCCATTTGGCAGTTTTCACTTTGGTAGGACATCAAATTGTCAATACACAGAAACTTTTAGAGAGATGTACTCATCATGAAACACACCCCCAAAAGTAAACAAGTAAAACACGAGTAAGTAAAAAATACTCCAGAAGAGGATATTATAAAGTGAAATGATCACCATTGCCTACAGAAAAGAAGGGGAGGAGTCAAATGAAATGCCATCCAAAGAATACACGGCATCGAATGAGACGTCACATGACAGCGGTGACGGGGAGGTCAAGAAGAAGTGCATTGAAACAATAAGTGCTCGTCATAGGCAGGAAATAGAGGACAGAGGGGCGTGCATGTGTGCAGGCAGGCAGGAACAAGATGCAGGTTCAAGCAAGCAGACAACTGGTAGGTCAGGTTTCATGCAGACATGTCAACAGAAACAGAGACACAACTACCTGCAAAAATAATTCAAATTTACAGCAACGAATTCGTGAAATATTTGAAGAAAATGACAGATGACATTATTTGGTATGGGCTCGGCGACATATTCTCTCGCTAGGCACCACATATCCAAAACAATAACCATGATGACTTCTGGGACACCGCGGAGGACATACGTTACATACAGCACTGGGGACACGTGAAACTCAACTATGATCATCCGTTTGTCCCATGCAACATTTCAAGCGATCCATGGGACAATCACACAGTATTCGAGAGAGTGATGCATCTTGGATGTTTAAGCACGTCACACAAATCACACTGATCCTCCCAGTTACAGGTATGAAGAGTGAAGGGTTGTATGATTCCTGAGTGACCACATGCAAGCTGTTGCTTCAGCAATGACAAATATATTCAGAAACAATACGTGAAAGATAAAGACGGGAGCGCAGGCACACGGTTTCAGTTCTTTTGACGGACGTAGAGACAAGTCAAGTTTCCGGGGGGGGGGGGTCAAGCATGACAGGTAGTGCAAAGAGTGTGTACCTGCCAGCTGGTCGGCAAGGGGGGGTAGGAAAGGGTGATGGTGGTGGAGGAGGACAGGAAGAGGCGGCGCCAGAGCAGGAGCACTCTTAGCGCTGCGGATAAAGGCTGAGGACAGCAGAGAGTCCCCCGTAGAGCAGCTACGCAGGGCTGAAGAGGTGGGAAGAGCAGACAGAAGAGGGACAGAAAAGTGTGAGACAGGAAAGGAAGGAAATAATACAATAAAGGAAGCAAGAGGGGGGGAAAGAGGGTATTGTTGAAGTGAGGTGAAGAGGTGAGTGGAAGAAAGGTGGATGTATGGGCGAGGACGGAGAAGGGAAAGGAATGAAAACAATGTCAAAAGTGGGAGCAGAAAAGATCGTAGAAAAGAGGAAGGTTAAAGGGCAGACGCGGAGGGAATGAGTGAGACAGGGTTAGCAGTTCTGGAGGAGAGACAGCGGGAGGCTGGCGGCAGCTTGGCACTCTACAGCTCAGACCAGGACACACAGGAGCAGCGCATTTAGCCGTCAGATCCACCGTTTACTTGCAGTCACAACAAAATGAAGTTGTCTGCAAGTTTGACCACGTCTGAGAACTTTTGAAATATGTTAGCATTTGACTGCGCAGCTGAAAAGAAATGAGACAAAACAACTGCACACCGGCAAGATTGTTGGTTATGTGTGGGCTCATTTCTCACAGGAAAAGTCACAGTTGGACATTTTAGAACGGTTACAGGTAGAGTGAAAACCACTGGAAACTGCAGAGAGAGAAGCTGCTAATCTTTGTATTTAGAGGTATTAGATATATTATGTGGACATCTTTAGGTTTTTCTAGGTCCTACAGAAACCCTGCAATCACCATATATCTGTTGTTTCTGAGAGACCAAACAAGGAATCTTTTTAGTTTTTACTACACACCGTCAGGTTATGCATGTTTCATCAATGACGATTGGAGCAGAACCTCTTTTGTTAAAACAAATAAACTACTGTGATTAATAAAAAAGCAAACACCTAGAGACAGGAGGAATGTGGATTAAAAAAGAAAGCATTTAGTTGTGTGTATTGTAGTTTGAAGGATCCTTGCCGATGCATGCTTAAGCTGTTTAAAAAAATGCATGTGCATGAGTCACCTTGCTCTAAACTGGTGTTTCACAGTGATGGCCACAGTTAAAGGCTTCGCACAAACAAGACTCCACTGAGGAGGAGGAATCACAGTAAACCGCGACTTCCTGTCAGACAGCAGGAGAGGAAAAGAGGTGGAGACGTCAAGTCAAACAGAAGTGACTTTGAGGAAGAAAAGCCTTGTCTTAAGTATGCTGAGGAAAGACAGGGCACTAGTCACTCTCTCACACACATACACACACACACACACACACACACACACACATGCGGAGGACAGTCGTGGAAGAGGAGGATACTGACCTACAGTCTTCTGGCGGACGATACTTCTGGCCTTTTCGATGCCCGGGGAGCCGGCGGTGGTGGCGCTTCGCTGCCTCATGGCTGCCACTTGGCCCGGCTGGTCTCTGCTCCAGCCTTTAGAGAAGGAGCGATCCACAATCTGCCTCTGGCCCTCCGAGCCGATACCTGGTGTGGATGGGTGGAGCGGGACATCATCTCTCAATGCGCATATAATGGTACTTACGTTACCTCCATCAGAAACTATGCAAAGAATAGACCTGTTCTTTATGTGTAGAGAAAAGGTCTATTCTCTTTCAGACTATGTTATGGGGTATATTTTAAATATCCCAGTTCTTCTTGGGCTCCTTTCATTTTGGCTTTATTTCATATTTCGGGATTTTCTTTCTTACTTTGTACATTTCTATAATGTCCAACTTACGTTTATTTATATTGTGAAAACGTTCCTTGTATTCAACTGCTGACGCTGAAGTAAGAAACTGTAGAAAGTGTGGGCTGGAGTGCCTACACTGCATCTTTGACTTTTAGGATATTAGATCTGAAACTAAGATTTATGTCGCGTCGATGATATCTTTAGTAGGTGTGGGAACTTGAAGTCAAAAACAGCCGTCTGTATTTCAGATCATGATTCACACAGGTTCATTTAAAAAAGGCTAAAAGTGTCTCTTGTGAACGACCAACCTTTTCCTTTGTGCTTCTTCTGTTTTTGTTCACTGAGTTTGTCCAGAGGCAGCTCGTTCAGATCAACACTGTACAGGTTCCTGGCCAACACCTGAGACACAACAAGACCAACACACTGCTTTAACACATATGTTTATGTTACTACAGCATAATGGTTGAGATGGAGGCAAGATCACTGTTAAACTAGTGCTAAAGGCACTTTAAGTTGATTTTTCATATGCAATCAACATTAACGGCAGATATAGAATGAAAGTGAGAGGAAACATTAAAATGCATGTAAACAATGAATGAAACCAGCTTTTCATTCGCTCTGGTTCTCCTCTACTTCTCTAGAGACCATTGTTGATCTGCGGATGTCAAAGAAATACTCGGGTGACACGTTTTGAAGAAAATTACAGACACAGTGTGGATATAAAACGCCTGTAGGATAATGAGAAAAACAACTTCCAGTACCTTGGTGAGGGTCTCCATGGTGAGTGACCACTCGGTGACCAGTTCATCCCAGCAGGTGAGAGAGGAGAGGACGGCGAGGAGGTCGTCCCACAGCTCTCTGCTGATGTAGACGTTTAAGTTCCCCTTGATCCAGGCCACTATCAGCGTCTGTGCAGACAGAGGGGAGAGAAGGGACACACAGCTGTATAAGAAGCTCTCTACTCATTCTCAGTGAGCCGGGTCACACTAGGATACTATTAAACTTCATTAAGGTGTTGAGAAAATTTGGAAAATAATACAATCTCAAGCATAATAGCAAGTATGCTGGATAAAGAAAGAGAAAAGATGAAGGCAGCTGGATACTTGAGAACACATCTGCATTATTTACATCATTGTTACATCCATCATTGTTCAGTACTTAGAGCACCACGTGCCAGTCCGTCTTCCAGAAGCTGTGCTGTAAACAATAGCACGTTCCTATTCATTCATTCATTCACTGTTTCATGTACCACAGAGACAACTCTTCTACCACACAGAGCATTTACAAAAACTGTATGTTTGGCTCGCAGAGGAAAAAAATAAATCTGTCCAGTTTGATATGGTGACACGAATGTACCTGAAAGATGGCTGCAGCCAGCCTGCCTGACAGCGTGTTGATCTTCTTGCCCTGCGGCATGATGGATGGAGGTCTTTTCATCACTGACTCCGTCACCCTCAGCAGAACCAGTAAGACCTGTTCCCTATAAACAAATACATAAAAGAAAAGCAGCCTTTAACGACATGATCCTACTGAAATTTATTTAGATGTCCATAGTAACAAGTGGGATTTATCGTGTATCTGTTGTTGGGAAGGAGGGGGGGTTACCATGTTTTCTGGTCCATGGTCTCATGCATGACGAGGCTGCGGTAGATGTTCAGGACTCGCTTGCACATGTCGACGTGCTCCTCCAAAAGGATCTTGATGTCGTTGGCTGGCTCCAGCAGGAAAACGTTGGAGGAGTGGGTGATAAATAGCTGAAAAGGGGGACAAGCGATCAGGATGTAAAATGGGTTCACAAACAATTTTTTTCTACAAGGTGAAGTAAGAACTGTAAGAAGACAACTGCACTTTTGTGTGGATGTATGAAACGGACAGAAACGTGCGAGGACCACACCTGTAGTGTCGTCTGAACTCCGGCATGAACGCTGTACTCCAGCAGTTCACTGTCAACTGCCTTACTCATTCCCCGAGGAAGAGAGAAAAAAAAAAACACACACAATTAAAGTGAAAAAGAATAGTTAGTGGGCAGGTCAAACATAGTAAATCACTATAAAAAAAAAAAAAAAAGATCTGATCTGTCCGGGCTACCTTCATCTTAAACATTTCAGGATTATGTTTCTGACTTCAGGTAATTCCTCACCTCATCGTCCTTGTCCCCGAGCTGCGAGCCTGAATCCAGGCTGCTGGTGGTGGGATAGGGGCCCTCCTCTGGCTCCTTCATGAACACTGGCCTGTCCTCCATGGAGATCCACTCCTGGTAAACACGCACCACTTTACGCAGCGCCGCAGCCTCGCACATGGGAAGGAGAAATGCCTGTGGGTAGATAAGGAAGGATTGTAAAAGACCAAGTGACTTGCACGTGGACATAGTGTATCAAGGACAGAATAACAGTCACTGCATATCAAATCTAATATTTAAAAAACACTACCTGGATCCACTCCAACTGCAGACACAACCTCACACATCAGTTGAAGCTATATTTAGAAGTATTTTCAGTGCTTTACCTTGACAACAGACAGCCCTTTCCAATGGGGAACTGAAGCAGTTATCTATGTTACACTACTCTTGTATTGTTATATTGTACTCTCTAACAATTTCAATTTTTTTTATTTATTTATTTATACAATTGCACTGTTTATTGCCATGCAAGTCATATTCCTTGTCTGTGCAAACATACGTGGCAATACACAGTTTCTGATTCTGATGCGCTCTTTAAAGACACCAGACCCCGTTGACAAAAACAGGAATTTTACATTGCAGAGCATAGAGTTGCTGGTCTACAGCTACCTCGATCAGTTAGTTTGTTATTTTGAGGCGTTGGTGAATCCGAACTGACCCTTTAACAACCAAAGTAGCAAAATAATAAACAAGATAACCAATCAAAGCAGCAGTGGACCAGCAACTCTGGTGAGAGGTAAAAAGGTTTTTGTCAATGGAGTCTGGTGATTCTTGAAGAAAGCATAGATTTATATAACGGCTTCAGTTCTCCTTCATAAAGGTCTGACATCAATGGCAAAGCGGTGAAAATACTCTAAATATAGCGTACATTTAAACTGACATTAGGCAAGGCAACTTTATTTGTATAGCACATTTCAACAACAAGGCAATTCAAAGTGCTTCACATAAAAACATCAAAACACAAGGCAAAAAAAGAAAACAAGCTTTGCTCCAGTGCTGGTACTCCTGTCTGTTTCTTCAAACTGGGGGCGTGCAGACCGCCATCTACTGTAGTAATACACTGATTATGAATAAGTACCTCATTACCCCCCCCACCCCCCACCGCAAAACCCCCCTGAAAAATCCATTTAAAGCTTTGACACCCTGGAACATTGTTACGTAACGTCCGCACGAATCAAAGAAAGGTATTCCTCCCTCACCTGTCTAAAGATCTCAGTGATGAAGTTGACGTTGGTTCTGGAGCTGGTCAGCACTTTCCTCACCACCTCCATGTCCGTGAGCTGCTCTTCATCCATGGAGCAGAGTGAGGAGGAGCTGGGCTCCCTCTCGGTCAGCGTGGACGTGTTGGAGTGGCTTTGCTCGGGCTCCCCCCCGGCCCCTGAACCCCCCGACAGCCCCAAGCTGCCTCCGCCTGATCCGGATGAGCCGCCGCTGCCTTCGAGGTGGCTGTCAGAGCGGATCCCACCGCCACCGCTGTCGTCTGAGCTGCCCGCGGAGCGAGCTGCCAGTCCGGCTGCTGCTCGCTGGATGGGGTCAAGGGTATGGTTATACAATGACAATAAATAGCAATCAGAAAATCACGTCTCACATATTGCCACCGTAGTTATGTCAATATAATTAAGTACAAGGAACTTTCCGGTGACTTGAACCATACTTGTCACAGCCCGTCCATGAGTAAAAGATGCGCTAACCTGTATGTTCTTGGGGACGTTCTCCCCCTCTGTTCCTGGGATGTGTGCGTGCGTGTTGGGCCGTGGCTCCAGCCAGAAGGAAACCAGCCAGCGGATGAAGATGACTCGGGCCTGAAGGAAGCTCTCCTTGGTGCAGTACACGGTTTCACCGCCGTCTTGCTCCCTGCGCACCACGCTGTAGTAGGGCTTGGGACGCAGCGGGGGCACGTCTGTGGGGATAGAGGGGGAATTCTTAAATCTGTGTGGTCTGGGGGTCACAGTGATACAACATTACTGATCCAATGTGCTACAGGATTTACAGGATCCAGCAGGTCTTTAGGATCCAAATGTAACTGACCCAGTATTGGGCTGTAGAGGCTGGTCTCCATGGCGAAGTTGGGAAAGATGTGAGGAAGGTAAAACTTCCGGAAGTGAGCGAAGAGGAAGCTGAAGCCACGTTCGTGGTTCTCTTTACAACGCCACTCGAGAGACTTGGCCTGGTGAACACACACACACGCACGCACGCACGCACGCACGCACGCACGCACACACACACACACACACACACACACACACACACACACACACACAC